AAGCACTCCTAATTTCTCATAATTATTTTAATGTGGCAATTTCAGAATAACTTTTATTCATTTCTCAAAGGTATGATTATGAGATATCATTTTGTTCCTAGTGGTGCATTCTGCTTAAGACAAATAGTAAGACTAATTTCCAGACCTCTGAAAACCTGTGTCACTGAGCTGAATCAAATATACTCATTCCTTCACTCATTTAACAAGTCATTATAGGTCTGCAGCTAGGAGAGAAAACTTAATATTATCCATGAAAAACTCATCTCTTGATATTTGTAAAGTTTCTATATATTTTCCTCTCTTTAACCTTTTGCTGAGGATTTTTATATTGACTGAATTTAGAGAAACCTTGAACTGGATATTTTTTGTGTCTTAAGCTGTTTGGAGAAATTCATCCAAATGCAGATACTTAAATACACATGACATTTTGCATGTAATCAGTGCTCTCTGATCCCTGGAAACCTGTTAGGTCCAAGGGTGAGACTGGAGGCAGAGAGGCTGTCATCCTGGCTGCAGTATGTTTAGAAAGGGGCCAGAAGATAATTCTAAACTCTCACTTAGGTGGAGGTGCTTGAAAATCAAGGCAAGATATTACAATTTCTGCTAAAGTTGTAGTAAACCATTGAAAATTTCAGAGAAAAGCAGGCTTGTGGAAGATTAACCTAGCAACAGTGCTGAATGCAGGTTTGAGGAGGAGAACAGGTGCTGGTAATAGAAGTTTGGAATCTGCAAAATCTGAAAAACAATCAGTTTATAAACAGAGGTCGATGATGAATATGAAAGAGAAGTGGTTTTGTAGCAATCAGATCCCTGGACCATTTTGAATTTGCTTTCATCCTGGGTGCCAGACTTCCTTGATAATTCCCCACAGTTGTGACTACCTGTAACTCCAGCTGGCTCCTGAGCATTATCAAAGCTGTACCAACTCGAAAGAAGAGAAAACATTTAGAAAGAAGACTTTCCAGATTTGCTGTTGCTCCAGAGACCCTTCACTTGCTTCATTCTGCTTCCTTCTCATTCCTATTGTAACTGATTTTTAACCACTTTTTCCAGATATGTTACAAATCAAACTTAAAGTCGCCTCAATAATCATCTTTAAAAAATTATTTAGTTCGATTCCTGCCTGCCCCGGAGGTGACCCACATGGCGCAGCCTGTACCCCAGTTCTATATGCATAAATAAATAAATCTTAAAAAAAAATCAATACATCTTAGAGCACAGGAGTTAGGACAACCTCATGTATCCACTATATCAATTACTACTCAAGAGAAGATTAGCAGAAACACCGCTTGGGTTACCTTTGATGCCCGAGGACTCCTGAAGTCCCCTTCATTCCTCCTTCCAGTGCATTTTGACTTACTGTCCTTGTGTCATTATCCCTACAAAGCATGGTCTCAACCTTTTCACTGTGGCAAGTCTTTGAAAACATCCTTGGGACCTCCTCCCAGCATGGGTAGAATTGCCTCATACTTAGTAGGAACCCCCTAGAACCAGAAAGAAGGAAGTTGACCCAGTGCTGAGCCAGTATTCTATCTATGAGAACTTTTGGCTCTCCAAAATTCCTAGGAGCACTGAACGTGGAGAGACCTGTAGTGAGGGCACAGTGTGTCCTGATCTCTGCCTCTGTTGTTACCAAGACACATAGTGCTGATGTCGGAGACCAGCTCCAACTTTTGAGGTGTCTGGAGGCAACACAGGCAGGACCCTAAGATGGGAAGGCGTCGGCGTGC